AAGGGTCACATGCCGGGAAATGGTGACTCCTTGCCTATCCATGGCAGCTGTGGGGTATCCCCGGATGGGGGTGCCAGGAGGGACCCAAAGAGGAGCTGGGAACCTCAACCTGTGGGCTCACTTACTGATTTAGTCACAGAAAGGAGCTATTGCAGGACACCAAGACATTATACAGGGTTATTAAGGAGAATTTTTTAAAGTGCACAGGCAGAGAAAATAGAGTGGGGCCCACAAGAGAGAGGCGCATTATGGTAGGGGATTGGTGCTTTCATGTGGTCTTGAGGTGTCCTCAAGATGCATGATGTAGGATGTGCATTTCTGTACAGTGGGTTGGTCAGGTTAGAAAGGGTTAGAATGCAACCCATTTGCATGTGTTTGTAGTTTAGAGATAGTTTGGAGATACCTGCCCACTTCTTAGCTCTGCTTCTTTGAAGATGGAGGTCTGTGGGAGGAAGAGCTTGGCTTCAATTTACACATAAAAGCATGCAGCCCCCAATTTACGGGCTTATTGCATCTTTAAGACCCTTAGGAATTTTTTCCCTCCTGAAGTGAGTTCCTAGAAGGGAAGAGAAGGAAACTTTGTTTCCTGAAGCTGTGGTTTTTCTTACAAGTACATTTTTAAATTACGATTTTTCCTTGTCTCCTTTTTACCTATCTTTATTTCGTCTATCCTACCTCAGGTTTCATACCTGGGAAAAGGGGACCCCTCCCCGGTCCACAGCAGCTGTGGCGCACTCCACTTCCCAGGACCAGGTCTCCTTCCCCTACCCAGGAAGATAGGGTTTTGGGAATGAAGGGGCTGGAAGCCCCAGACCCTAGGGCTGCCAATGGGGAATGCTGCAAGAGATCGGGGGTGCTGGGTGTGGTGCCCAGGCTCATGCAGGGACTTGGGGGTTGTCGTGTGTTTGAACCTAGTTTTTAAAAGCAAACAAACCAAGAAACTGCCTAATATTAAGACATTCCAACTTCAAGCTCTTTGCATGTCAGATGCCTTTATATTTAGTCTGCTGTAATGGTAATGTTTGGAAATGCTTATCAATAAGTGCTTTTACAATCTGCCATGGCCTGCCTGTGGTTTTAGGAGCACTGGCTCCTGTCTCTGCAGCTAAGTAATAGGAGACTAAAGTTTAAGGACACATGTAGACAAAACTGAGCTCTGGCTGGCGTCTCAGAACTTAACTGGAGAAAAGCAACCCAGATCTTGTGCTTCTCCTACAAGATGGCTTTGCATGGCAAGTGGAACCTAGCAATGTGCATTTCAGTTCCTTCAAGGTTTTTCTGTAGGGGCTGAAGACTCCAAAGGCCTCTTCAAGTGCATTTACGACCTCAAGCCCTCCGTCTGCCTCTTCAAATTAGCTGAGATGAGAAGGAAGCTCACTAGCCATGACCATGACCAGGGTGGAGGCTGAACCCCCAGGATGGGTCTGGCCTGCTCTGTTTGGCACCTGATTAGAGCTCAGGTTTAGCTCAATCCACAGCCCAAGCCCATAGTTTTGGCTAAATTTATGAGCATGCTAATCTAAAAACAAACATGTGTCTTTGATAGCTCTGATTTATGCAAAGAATCAGTTTGCTCTGCATGTCTTAATTATTTTTTTAATAGCTTCATGGCAGAAAATCAAAGCCTGCTGAGTCTTATATTTTACTCTCTAACTTATTTTCTTAGTTTTTTGTTTTTTGGATTTTTTTCTTAATTTAAAACATCTAATTAATCCATGCAATATGGGTGCTTTCTGTTTAAACCTTTCATGTTCAGAAAGTAAACTAGATGCAAGTGTAGCTAATGTGTATAGAATTTTTTTTTTTTGGTCTTGCCAGATATATGTTTAGGACAAGATGGCTGTGAAACAAGAAAATGAATGAAATTCTAGCAACCAGGGCCCTGGTAAAGGAAAATGTTAACAGATATTTGCAGAAAGAAGTTCAGTGAGCACACTGCCACAGAGGGGCGTTCTCCTTCCCTCAGGCTTCACTTCGGTCTCTGTGGAGGTGACACCCCCCACAGCACTTGCCTGCCCCAGCCTCACTTTCACAGTGGCAGTGCTTTCTGCAGCCTTAACCCCGCCGTGTCTTGTGCGGTTGGCTTTGTGTGGCTGCCTTTCTTTATGGCACCCCATCTTGACACAGTGGAGACAGAGGAGGTTAGGCACACCAGTACAGGTCGACTTGGCCGCCTCCTGGTCCCGGCACACCTCTCAGGCTTGGCCACATGTCTCAGTTTGGCATCCTCAGCTACCATGCCTTCCCTCCTGCCAGTCCTTGTGCCCCTCCTGCCTGCCCGCCTTGGCTAATGACGAAATCCCAAAAAACAAAGAGGTTATTTAGGTGCGAGTATCGCTAATGAATAAAGAAAGGAGCCTTGCTTGCCAGATTATTTAAGGCAAGTTATCCAAGCTGTTTCTCTTCAGCCAGCATATTGGTCCAGAGCCCTATATAGAGCACTTAGCCTGTCTTCACATTCCCTCCTGGACCTGGTACCTGCAAATAAGAATGAGCGAGCCCTTTGCAAAATATGACCAAAGGCAAAGTGCAGAGATGCCTCCTCCAAAAGGGTTATGAGGGAAGCTGCTGGACGCAGGTTTAGCTCACTGTACTTCCCAGCAGATTACAGGCTCATCTTCTCACCAGGAAACTGAGGATGAGCAAAGGGTCAGATGGGATTGGAGCCTCCTTGCCATCCCCTGGCAGGATAGACTCCTAGGCCCTGCTGGTGAGTGTCCACGGGAGGGCTGCTTGCGAGTCACTGTGACCACCACTGCTGCCTGCTGGTCAGGCCTGGTGGGTCTGCCTTGATTAGAAACCACACTGGACCTTGTCATGCTACCTCTCCAGTGTGGCTTAGAAACAGGCTGGGAAGGAAAGCAAGAATCACAGGGCTGGGGCTCACTTCCTCTTCAGCCCTTCTCGCCTGCTCCAATATCAGGCCATTCCGCAGGCCCCACATAGAACTGCAGCTAGCAATACTTTAATTTCTTGACCACGGAACACAAAAGAACAAAGTGCCCATATGAGTGCAGCACCATTCTCAAATATTCACAATAATGCCCCCATTCATTCACTTGGCCAGTATTTATTGAATCCCCAGGTGGTGCTAGGACTTGTGCTCAACTCTGGAGCTACAGTGCTCAGTAAAACAGTCATGGTCCTTGCCTTCAAGGAGTGCAAGCCTGCTGGGAGAGGCAGTTAGGGAATCGTGTGGCCTTTGATAAAATCATTGTCCCAGGCTGCAACCAGCGTGTGGGTGAGGCCTGCTGCCTCCCAGACCCCAGGGGAACGGGAATGTGTTTCCTTGTCTCCTCTAGCTTTCTGGCAGCTTCAGCCTTTCCTTGGTTTCTGGCTACATCACACCAGTTCTTGCCTGGAACATCACACAGCCTCCTCCTCTGTGTTTCTCTTCTTTCTGTATCTTATCTTCTTATAAGAACACTTATCATTGGATTTAGGGCCACTCAAATAATCCAGGATGATCTCTTCTTAAGATCCTTACCTTAATTACATCTACAAAGACACTTTCTCCAAATAAGGTCACAGGCCCTTGCTCACAAGCCCTTGATGGCTCCCTGGGGCCCTGAGCTGCTGTCTGAGCTGCTCACTTGACACGGAACACTCCCCAGACTAATTGTGCAGCCAACACTCCACATGCTTCCAGACTCCTCACACACGCTCACCCAGCCTGGCTGCTTCTCACCACCAGAATCCCCTGTCCTCTTTGTGCCTAAGTCTCTGATGGCTTGTCCCTTGCCTGGAATTCACTAGCACACCTGCTTGCCTTTTTTCAATCTTTCTAGGCTCAGCCTAAAGCCCACTGATACTGTAAAGCCTTCCAAGCCTTGGTCCCTCCCTCTGCTCTTGGCCTTTCCTGAGGGTCTGCCTTAAGATTGTGGTCAGCCTTGGGGCCAACTCACCAAACTTGGAGTCTTTCTCCATGTAGAGCATGGGGCTTTGCTTGCTCTGGGATCCTGGATACCTCCAACTGGTAAACAGTGCAGTAGATTTTTGTGGGATAGAATTGAAGGAGATTTGCCTACCCCATTGCTTAGTGAGAAAAAAAATTAACCATGTCAAGAAAGGAAAGAAGGTAGGAAAGCTAGGTGGGAGAGGAGCACAGAGACATCCAGCTCTAGGAGTCCATCCTAGGGCCAGTATAGTGTGAAGAGAGGCAGAGCATGAACTTGGACATCAGTCCTAGGTTCACATCCCAGCTCTGCCCTTTACTCACTTGAGACCTGCTCTGAGCCTCAGTTCCCGATCAACTCATTCATTGACTTTTCAGTACAAACAAAGAAAGAAATCTTTATGGAGCACATATTAGATGCCAGAAATACTATGTTGCAAGGATACAGCAGTGCAAAGGAGAAAATCCTTGCCCTGAAGAAGCTCACTGTCTTGTGAGGCTGTCCTAGTCTGTTTCCTGTTGCTATAACCAAATATCTGAGAACAGGAAATTTATAAAGAATACATGTTTATTTGGCTCGTGGATCTGGAGGCTGGGAAGTCCAACAGCACAGGAGCAACATCTGCTTGGCGACGGGTGAGGACCTACTTGCTCCATCATAAAGTGGTGGCAGCACCACATGGTGAGACGGACCAAGTGTGCTAGCTGGAGGTTTCTTACAAACCCACTAATGCCATCATGAGGGCCCCACCCACATGACCTCAGTCCTAATCATCTCCAAAGGCCCCACTTACAGATACTGTCAACATATAAAATTGAGAATTGACTTTCCAACACGTAAACTTTTACAGACACATTAAAACACAGCAGAGGTGCTAGCCATGTGACTAAGTACAGTAGAATGAGATAGAATGTATATGCCAGTGCAATGCCTTGTGCCAAGAATTATAAGAGCACATCAGAGGACTACAGACTACAGAATTCTTGACTTATAATAAAAAGTAATTTTCCCTGTAAGAATTGCAATAAGAAAGAGTTCTGAAAAAAAAATAGCTGTGGGCATATTTGGCTATTATTGCCAGCTAGCAAGCAAACAGAACAGACTTGAATACCAGAGTCTGTTCTGAACAGCACATAAAGCCAAAGTCCGGTTTCTATACAGCTCAATTACAGTGTGTCCTCAAGTTTAATGCACTGCAATTGATAAAATGCATGTAACTTAATAGTATTTTTTTTCAGGAAGGAAAAAAGAAGAAGCATTGACGGTGCCTGCTAACAGTGACGTGCATCACAGCATTAACAGGTGAGAAAACGGTGTGGCTCAGAAAATTCTCTTTTTGCAACCCAGCTCACAGCCAACAAAGGCCTGCAGTGCCAGCAGCCCCTCTGCTAGCACACCCCAGTTTATCCATCAGTCACAAGTGACGATCTCCTCCCTGCCCCTCCCCGCCCCATAGGCCCAATTCCCAACTCCAGTCCTGTCATCCCAAAGAGCAAGCCGTGTAATGTCACGGGAGCATCCGCAGGATGCTTTCCTGTCCCAGCAAGAGAAATGCTTGGTGTGCAGGGGGGAGCCTGGGGGAAGGTCCGAGGCCTGGACAGCAGTGGCGGCTGACAAGTCAGGGAAGTGAGCAGTGAGGAGGGGAGTGCACTGATAAGACTGGCTGTGGGGAGAAAGGGAAGAAGAAAGGACTTAGGGCTCTGCCCTGCTCCTGGCTGGTTGCTGAGACAGCCACCCAGGAGAGAAACCGGGCTTTCGGTAAGAGAACGCCAGGGCTGGACCCACCTGGGCAGAGCACTGAGTGTGCCCGAGGCTCCCCTTTCCCATGCCACTAGCTCTGTGGGTTTGGGGAGGGACCCTGAAAGCCCAGCAGAGCTGGATTAGGCCAACCATGCCCCCCACCCCCAGCGACCACCTGCCAGGCCTCCTTCTTCAGGTTCAGACATGTTCTCTCTCTCTCTGTGTCTCTCCCTCAGAGATGGACACCAAGTGCTGTCTGTGCCTCTCATTCACCCCTTAGTACACTGTTCTCAATCTACAGTGTGTATTCAGGCTGCCGCCTGGGACCACCCATTAATAGCCCCAGCAAGGTCTGCATAGGGGCGAGGTGGGCCTGGGGTCCCAGTTGGCTCCACCTCTTCCAGATGAGCTACTCGGCTTATGCTGATTTGTGCCTCCTGCAGTGTACCACAGGGATAAGGGGAGTATGTGCTTCAGAAGTTCGTGGTAGCCATCAAATGGGATCAGGCTCTGAAGGTAGCTCAGACTGTCTGCCTGGCCCTTGGTACATGCTCGCTAAGAACTTCTCCCTCTTCTTTCCTCTTTCTCCCTTCTTTTTCTTCTCTGCTTGTTTCTACAGTGTAGATATTGGTTTCTGTGGCTGCCATAACAAGTTGCCTCAAACTTGGTGTCTTAAAACAACAGGATCCTACTAAATTAATGCAGAAATGAAGCCACTCATTCATTCACTCACTCTCCAACAGTTCTGGAGGCCCAAAGTCTGAAATCAAACTGTCAGGAGAGCTACTCTCCCTTCAAGGACTCTAGGGCAAGGTCTGTCCTTGCCTCTTCAGCTTCTGGTGGTCCCGGGTGTTCCTTGACTTATATCCACATCACTCCAGTCTGTTTCCATCTTCACCTCACCTTCCCCATGTTTGCCTTCTGCCTTTTACTTATAAGGATTCATCCTTGGATTTAAGGTCCACCAGCATAACTCAGGATGACCACATCGTGAGATCCTTCACTTAACTACACCTTCGAAGACCTTTTTCCAAATAAGGTCATAGTCACAGGCTGTGGGTTGACACATCTTTGGGGAAGGGGGTATCATTCAATACACCACAGTATAAATGTCAGCATTTCTCAAAGACCCCAGGCTGGGATACCAAGCCACCTTCACCTTCTCTGAACTGGGCACCTGCCAGACACTCTCAGAGCTAAGCTCCCGTAGCCAAAACAGGGGACAAGACCACAGCTTAGGTCAACTCTGTGGAACTCATGGGAAACAGGGTCTTGGAGATCAGGTGACTCCATGCCAAGTGGCTCTCCCCCTTCCCAACAAACCTGGAGACACACACCAGCATCAGCCATGCACCCCGGAGTGCAGAGGGTGGGACGAGCTTATCCTAGCCTTGGAGCTAAAGTCCTGACTACGATATCTGTCACCTTGGACCCAGTTCTCCAGGCAAAATAGCAGCAGCATGCTCTGGTAAGGCTTCAAAGCAGGGGAGTGGAAACATCTTTAAGAGACGCCAGCCCATTTCCCCTACCTGCATAGCCTTGAGGCTTGAGACTGATCTTTCTCCTGTGTCAGACAGGACAAACTTATGCTCCCTGTGCTGGGAAAAGCAAGGACTCTGGCAGAAAGCCAGAGCTCGAGGGTGGGGATGGGGTGCCCATGTGCCTCAGCCTTCCTGGCACATCTCTAAGAATGCAGTGATGGAACAGAGCAAGAGAAAGACCATGTTTTTCACCGAAAGGGGAGGGGACAATCCTGCGACCAATTTCAGTGATTAGCCACAAGAAGAGGGCCCTTTATTCCAGGCATGTGTATGCTTTTTAATTTCCTCTTGTGGGCTCCTGAGGGGCCCAGTAACCGTGCAATTAGTATTCCTCTCCAGCCTTGGAGGACGTGGGCTGCTCTCGGAGATGGCTCCAGGTGGGAGCCAGTACCACTTGCACTCCCAGCCTCCCGTTTACTGCCCAGTTCCAAAACCCCATGGCAAGGGGAAGGAGAGGCAGCGCCCTCCCAGCACCCAGGTGGGTTGTCCCTCAAGGGTGAAGAGGTGACAGGTGACTTCTAGCCTTCCCGCTTTGTGGGAAACAAAATAAAAATGCTTTACTGGGAAGGAAAAGGCTTGGCTGACCTTAAGCAATTAATGTAGATGTTACAAACCAGGCCAACTTGGGGGTGGAAAATTGCATTACAAGAAGACCTTTTGCTTCACAAAAAGAGTTCTGGAGGCTGCAAAAGATGGCTCCCCACGGAGGTTAAAGAGTCCATCTACAAAACAGTGATTCAACTGGACAATGCAGCTCTGTTGTGAAAAGCCAGCGCAGCTACTGACTTCCACCAGCCTGGTCACCCCAGATGCTTTGTACCCTTAAAGATGTGAACCTTAAAGGATATCATATACACCCCTGTGCTTTGGTGCCCTGGGCAATTTCTCATGCTATTTGGGTCCCTAGGGTCCATATCTATAGGGCAAGTGAAGGTTGATAACATGTCCAAAAGTGCTTTCCACTTTCTCTTACTGGAGCTCATTCCAGGGCATGGCTAGGGATACTGTGGGACACCCATGGGATCCTCTTGACCTAGGAAGTGGGATAGGAACATGGTCCTAAATAATGCCCAGAATAGTAGGGACGGGGAATGATACATGCTTGTGAACATCCTTTGGGAGCTGTAACGTTTACAAATGCTGGAGATGCAGGGGTGGAAGATTGCAGGAGTAGGGGCCCTTGTAGAAAGGGTTTCTTGAAAGTCGCATGATCTCTAGATCCTGTGGCAGGAGCTCTGTGGGAGCGGAGTGCCCTCTGTGGAGCCATGCAGGGGCAGCCTGGGGAGCTCAAGGAAGTGTCCATTCCACCCAGGGCTCACAGAATAGGACTCTTATGCTTAAAGTGTGAGATTCAGAAAAGAGTGCGTTCCCAGAATGCAATGTTTGAGTTTTACAAAACTTAACTGGACCAAAATTGGAATAAAGAAGAGCTTTAAAAAATGGCTTCAACTTGCTTACTAGGAATCAAGTTTCCAGGCTAAAACTAATTTTTCATACATGCCCCAATTCAGAGGCTCCCTGAGGAGCAATTTCCATAATTCCATATAAGTCTCTGTAGCCAGGTATGGTAGTGCACACCTGTCATCCCAGCACTCAGGAGGCTGAGGCAGGAGTACTGGTGTGAGTTTGAGGCCATCCTGGGCTACATAGTGACTTCAAGGCCAGTCTGAACTACATGGTAAAACCTTGTCTCAAAAAAATAAAAAACAAAACAAAATGCCTGTGGCCCTGCAGTTGGAAGGCCCACACACACTCTCCTCCTCCAGCCATTGCTCAAGGCCACAGCCATTTGTAGGCACCTTAAGGATTCAAAGTGGTTCATAGAAGTTCTGAAGTCCAAGCCTCAACCACAGTTGTTCTCAGAGCTAGAACTTAGAATACACCAGGGGGAAAAGGCAGTGGAGAAAAAGTGAGACCAAAAAGAGTTTTAGAAAGGCTCTGAGGAAAAGAGACAGGTGGGGGTAGAAAGGAGACAGTGATTGTGAACATTTCCTGGTGATTTTAATCTTCACATCACAAAATGCCACCTCTCTATCAACCGTACTGCCTCCTGAGCTGCCCACTGTGCCCATGTGCAGGCACCTCAGGGAGGGAAGAAAACAAATTCATTCCTTTCCACTCCTGACCTGATTTTCCCACAGCTGTCTGGGCACAAAGGAAGGCCAGAAGAGCCCTGGAGAATTGCCTGGGGACTCTCTTCTCTCCAAGGGGAATGACCACCTTTCATTGCCACTGGAAAGGCAAGGGCTTGTCCCAAGCAGCCCTCCTAGATTATACTGACACTGACCCAAAAGGGACATGTGTGGGCACAGGTTGCCTCGGCTCCACGGGAGTCGGTGAAAGAGGAGCAGACGGAACCCCAGAGCTGAGAAGTGCCTCAGAAAGGGGGGGGGGGCAGCCTTGACGCTGAGGACCTCATTCAGTCAGCGATGAACTAACCGGCCCAGCCTCTTGGGCTGAAGACAGGCCATGGCCTCCATGCTCCTAGTCCCTTCCTTGATGCAGTCGGATAAAAATGTGACTCGCTTCAAGAAAGGGATTTTAAGCTGGTGGCTTCCAGCAACTTCTTGCTCCTGGCTCATCATGGCTTCCTCCTGAATCCCTCCCATCCTCCCTCCCCATATTCATCCAGGCCCTGAGGAGGTTTGGCCAAGGCCCTGGGGAAGCTGTGCCTTAAAGAAGCAGAGGATGGTTTCTGCTGTGGCTGGGTGTTGAAAGGAATAGTCTCTGTCCCAGCGGTGGTGCTATCAGCTGTATCAGTTTCTCACTGCTGCTGTTACAAATTACCACCAAGTGGCTGGAAACAACCCAACTGTACTCTCATACTTCTGGAGCTTAGGAGTCCAAACTCAGTTTCACGAGGCTAAAGTTACAGCATCAATAGGACTGGTTGTTTTTGTAGGTTCTAAAGAGGAAACTCCATTTCCTTTCCTCTACAGCTTCTAGCAGCCATCTATACTTCTTGACTTGTGGCACTCTGCTCCATCTTCAAACCACGTCACTCTAGTCTCTGCTTCTTGT